TAGGACCCTTAGGGGAATAAATGTATGGGTTCCTGGAAAAGAAAGCATATGGGTAAAGAGACTTTTGGGAAAATGGTCAGATGGAGAACGAGTTCGGGAGAGGGTGAGTTTCTGGAGGATGAGTGGATGCTGGGGCTCTCTACATGCAATTCCCTAGTAGTTTTGCCATTGCTTAACACAAGGACATTTCAGTTAGGGACTCATATATATAGTCCCTTAGAACTGATATTTGGGGTAGTGGAACTAATAAAAAATTTGAATGAGTGAGAGATCGATGATTATGTGAGGATGCTCCATTCTCTTGCCATGGTGATGATTTCCATTGGGACTGAAGATGAACAAATTTGGAGTTTGGATTCTGAAGGAACATTGTCAATTCAATCTTATATTGCCTACATCCAACCAGAAGTGAGGATATGACCATGAAATTTCCGTCTTTGCTTGGAAGCAGTTCAGGGATGCATCCTAACTATGAATAGGTTTATAAGGAGAGGAAGATTCTAGTCAGTGGGTGTTATTTGTGCAAAAGTGCTGTTGAAATGTGCAATTACATACTCATTTGGTGTCTGTATAGAAGCCACTTGCTGTCTTTGGCTTATGGTTTACTGGGGTTGAGCTGGATCATCTCAGGAACTGTGAAAGAGAAGCTTTGTGCTTGGAAGACATCTGAAGTGATAAGAAATCGGTCAGATTTATCCCTTTGGTTAACTTTTGAGCTATCCGGAAGGAGAGGAATAGAAGGATCATTGACGGTATAGAAGCTAATTTTGATAAATCCAAAAAACATTTTATTCCAGCCGTAAGTTTTTTGATTAAAAGCCTACCGCTAATTTTGATAAATCTAAAAAACATTTTATTCCAGCCGTAAGTTTTTTGATTAAAAGCCTACCGCTATTTGCTAATGAGGATCTGGGGGACCTTAAAAACATTTTGACAGGATAGTAAATATTTTTGTATACAGATTGTACCCCCCTTGGTGCTCTTTGAATATATTATGCTTTAAAAAAATTTACTTAGTAGGAATAAACCAAGAAATACTAACACTAATAGAATTTAGGAAAATATTATAAACACAGATAGGAAATCTAGATACTAATAAGGACAACATGATTCTTCATCTTTCTATATTCTATTACCTATTCCTCTTTCAACCCCTCGCAAAGATGATTCTTCATCTTTCTATATTTCCAGGTTGAAGAAGTAGGGAGCACTGAAACCTATGCCTCTTCTTTGTTAGCCTAAGAATATCATCTTCACTTTCCAGGTTCCTTTGGGGGGTTCCATTTTTTCCATGTATTCCCACCTTCTATTTAAAAAAAAGTTAAGAAGGTACTAGCTCCTTGATTGCCTGTGTATATCGGATGAGACAAAAATTGTCCAGCCAACGAAAGAGAAGGTGTATGACATTTTAACTGGAGACTAATTCTATCTTGTGGGGGGAGTGAAAATTCAACAACATGAAGCATAAAGTGCCTGTTACTCATTTATTAGTTAAACTATTTTGCCTCAAACATCGTGGTTCATTATGCAACCAGTACTTAGAGGGGGGAACTGAAAGAGCCTAGAGTGGCTTTTATGGGAATGCTCCTCTAACTTTTTCAGAGAAAATGAAAAAAGTAAGTAAACGAGAGGAAAAGAAGACTGAAAAACATCTAAATAAGATAGAAGGTAAAGAAAAGGCTGAATCTTCTTAATTGTGAGAGACCCTCTTACCTGAGAGTCACTCACTTTGTTTCAAGGGAAAGTGGAGCATGGAAAGCATGAAATTTTTCTTCTTCCAGGGATGATGAAGAAAAAGAGAAAAAAGAAGAAGAAGAAGAAGAAAACATCCATTTTGTTTATTTGGATGTGATTGTGAGATATTTTCATTTGTTTGTCCTTTTTGTTTTTAGCTTTGATTTCTTTTTCTTATTTCTTATTTTCTGTTCTGTTCTATGCATTTGCTAATATCAAGGTGATGCTTTTGTTGCCTCTATGATAATCTTGATTTTATGTATTTCACCTTTGTGCAACTTTTTGCAATCAGTATTATTTGGTTATCACGGAAATGCAAAGCTCTTTACTTGATTATTTACTTTATGTATTTTTAGTACAAAGGCTGATGTCTTTACACTGCTCTATACTAACTCGTCCCTTTTTCCTGGCTTTGCTTCAAGATTTGAGTTTCGAGAATGGTTTGACCATACCTGCTGGAGCAGTCTTAGTTGTACCTGTACAATTGGTACAGGTGGATAATTCCAAGTGGGGGAGTGATGCCAGCAAATTTAATCCATACCGCTTTTTATCAAAGGAGTATGATTTATTGACTGACGAGCAAGGTTAATTTCTTTCTGTATATGCTACTCAAATTTCTACTTAAATTACATAAGATTTTATTTGTCAAACTTAGTGATGTTAGGATAAAATAGGTTTAATATGCCTACTTAGGAATTTGGGGATAACAACTTAAATATTACATCTAAGGTTTTTTAGACATTACATTTAAGAAATCTTAACAATGACAATTAAGGGTTTGATTGCATCAGACAACCAGAAAAATGAGATATGCTTGAAATATTTCATTGAATAACTAAACTCCATCTGAAATTACAAAATATTTATAATGTTTCTTATATAACATTTTCTAAATAAAAATAAACTAAGAAAAAATGTTATTAATATAAATAGAAAAACTAAATATTAATAAGAGTAAAATTGTGGGGTTTCTTTTAAAGCTATAGTAATAGACTCTTAAATAGTATAGTAATTTTATATTAAATAGAATTATACTTTCTAACTTTCTTTGGCAATCTAGAGCTAATATACCTTTGTTGATCAAGTTTCTCCTTCCATGGAGTTGTCTTTTTGGGGAAAGATCTTGAGCAAGAGGAACAAATTCTTCTTGCTCCTCTAGTTTAGGATCTGTGTTTATGTACCTAACTACAGACAAAATAGAAGTATTCACTTATTCATTCGGAACTAAATCATCATCCTCATTAGATACATAACCATCAAATCTTCCTTGCATCTCCTCCTTTTGTTTTATTCCAACATGCAAGTTGTTCTTCTTTGGGCATCGTAACCCATTTGTCCACTCTGTCCACACCAAAAGCAAACAATTACTTTACCTTTAGAATGAAGATTAGAAATCGATGTTATTCATTCTTTAACCCACCTTTTGATTCAAAGGTATCCTTAAGGATAGATGCCTTAGCCGGTCACTTATTGTTCCTCGAAATTGGATATTTTAAATATCATTCTACATTAAGGGCAGCTTCATAAGTTTAGATGATATTGCAAAGGGGTTGTTGAATTAATTCTCTTTTAGCTCTTAATCTTGCTTTGAATTGAAATGTTGCTTGGCAATCATCTTCTATCAACAAACTACGAATCTTTAATTTTTCGGACTTTTTTGTTCACTCAATTATTGGTATGTTGTTTTCAATTAAAGTCTAAGCTTGGCTATAAAGTTTCTCAAAGTAGTTGGAAGGTAAATACTTTTCAAGAAGAGTGGCCTTCATCTCTTCCCATGTTTCAGTTGTTGATTGTCTCCTTGTTAGATTCTCACCGACATTGTGCAACATACTTTTATGGGTCCAACTTTCATTTGGCATATCTAACCCTTTGTGATTTGGTATGCCATGCCACTGAAAAGTATTTTTCTATTAAATTGAGCCAATCAAGGAAGAAATTGAGATCTTTTTTTCTCCATCAAAATCAGGAGCTTTAACGTTTACCCTTGTAATAATGGTTCTAGCATTATCTTTAATTTTTCGCCTATCAGCAACTTGTGCGACTTGCAAATTTTGAACTGATGGAGTTACTTGTGCAGTGTGCACGTGTTTTAATTGCTGCACAATTGCATTGATCATGTTCTGCATTGTTTCAAGTATGGTATTAGTGTCTACCTTGTATAAATCTTGTCTAGCATTCAAGTTGTATTGGTTTGATTGAGGCAGGAATAGATCTAGGCAACTTGTCTGGTCAAGCTCTAGAAATCAAGTTAAAACAGGTCAGATTAAGCTACTCTCACTTGTTGTTGGGCGCGTGTATGGCTCACATGTCGCTTCCTACCATTGGATAACTGTGAGCTTCTATAAGTCAACTTGACTGGAGTTGGGGGTTGCAGATTGAAGATTAGTGTGAGACATGAGACATGAAGGACAGGATCGAGAGAGTCAACAGCTAAGAGAATTTGCCGTAGTAAGATGTGCATTCTCCATTGGAGTTTCCATGGCATGGCTTCGAGGGGTCTGCAGATTGGTGAGCTCTAGTTTCGGTAGTAGGGATGGTGTCACGTACCGCTTGGCGACAGCTGGTGAGCTGATTAGCAGCTGGTTTGTAGTCTTAGAGTTTTCTGAGCTGCGATTTTTTGGTTGTTTTCTTTTATTTTTTGTTCAAATGGGTTTGGTGTTGTTTGGAGGTAGTATTTTCACCACTTGGTGTAGAAATTTTTTGATACCAACTTATATAGGTTTTTAATTTAAAAAAGAAAGGTTAATTTGTCTAAGTAAGAATTTGAAAGTAAAAACCTATATATCACACTTACAGTTTCTCAAATATCACATATAAAAAGTTTTAAACACTATACTTAAGGGCTTGATTACGTCATACAATTAGAGAATTGAGAAACTATCGAAATAGTTTATTGAATAATTGAATTGTCTCATTATGAGATCACAAGATATTTATAACGTTTTTTAAGTACTCTTTTATATAAATAAGATTAAGCTAAGAAATACTAATATTAATAGTATTAGGACATTGGGAAGATAATAAGAGCAAGTAATAGTGATAACAGCAACAGTGGGACTATGGTGGCAGCAACTACAGTGATGTTGATGGTGGCAACAGCAGCACTGGGTTATTGGTGATGATGGAAGTGGCAGTTCTGGTATTCATCTCAAGAGATAGAGGTGGAATGGAAAAGAAAATAACCTTGTAGTCTTTGTACAATACTACCCACGTGGGTAGTGATTGTTCACCCACATGAGTTGAATAATATTACTATATTCTGGCATTGGTTGTATTTTATTCTGCCTATGAAGAAACTTTTTCCTAAGCATCGTGGAGATTATGTTAAGGAGCTTATCTACCCCTTACCACGCAGCACTCGTGGTACCGAATTTAATCTTAGTTCAGACTTCCTTTCCCCTTGCTATGTATCTGTACGAGACAATTTCATGCAATTTGTCATGTTAGTGTCTTCCACACAGTCCTGCTCGTGTCTTTGCTTATAGGACTTAATCATACCTATAGTTTGGCTTGAATTTCATATAATTCATATTTTAATGATTTCATATTGTTTCACTCCACTCTCTAGTTTTCTAATATATTTGGAGATGTACTACAATTATGAGGATATAATCAATGTTTGAGAATTATTTTCCTCAGGTGCTGGTAAAGAAGATAAAGAGCATAGTTCATTTGTTTTAAAAGATCCAAATGACAATGAAGCATTTCTTTCCTTTGGTTTTGGTACACGCGCCTGTCTCGGGCAGAAGTTTGTAATTCAAGGAGTCGCAACACTGTTTGCATCGTTGCTTGAACGCTATGAGGTTTGTGCAAGGAGCTGATTTTTTTTTTTCCTCTTCTAACCTTACAGTTGAAATTGCAGTGTCCTATGTATTATATGCATGTACCAATAAGTGGAATTAATACTTTGAGAGAGAGTTTATTTTACAATTTAACTCAATAAATGGAAGTACTGTGTATTATGAGGAAAATAAAATGGAAGTTAACATGCTTTACTTAGAAAAAACCAGTTCTTTCGGTCGGATCATTGTCAATCTTGTTCCAAATTTTCGAGTTGTCTAATTATACTTTTTACGTGGTAATTGCCTTTTGAACTTGATGGGTGTTACTTCTAAACCTTTCAAGCT